TAGGATAAGATTTATCATTGACATTTCTACATTTTCTGTGGTAGAAGCAGAGCCAGCATCACCAACTCTTTTAAACTTACTCCTGATTGATGTTTAACAAATCCCAGAACTCTAGAAGACAGCATGGACAGAACAATGAATGGGGGCAACAAATTTCTCACCCCAAACCACCCTTATTTTTAACACTGTATTTGAGTCTTAACTTTTCCTTCTTCTACAGTAGCAGTATTTGTAGTCAGTCAAGAGAAGGAAAATAAAAAAAAGAGATGTTCAGAAAAGACAAATAAAATACAGTATGCGAAAAATGCTTATTTGTGAAGCAGTAAATTCTAGTCACCCTTTAATATGCTCAGACATTCCGATAGCTGAGAGATTAAAAATCAAGATATAACATATATATTATATAGTTTTGTCTTTAAACATTAAGAGCAATCTCGCCACCTGAAAAATAGAGATAGAATCCTCCTCATGCAGCAACAATGCATTAATGATTGTCCAAATTACCATGGTTGTTACACGATTATAAACCCATTTCATGAAGGAAAAAACAACTGAATTATGCTTAGCTCAAGTGAGACATTTTACTCTTCCAGAAAGTAAAAATAAATAACTTTGTCAACTAAATTGTTTAAATAACAATAAAAGTTGCATGTGTCCATATTTAGTTCATTAAACAACTTTAATTGCCATCATTGCCAATAATCTCGAAACATCAACCCTTACTCATGCACGCACACACACACACACACGTTCATATGCCCACACACAGAGGTACAGACAACAAACAAATCGATGGGGTTCACTTGGACTAATCATAGTATGTTAGTAACTTAGTAAGTGGGTATCCTTTTTCGTTAATCAATACAGAGTTGTCATTTGTTGCACATCTGATATGCAACTATTGAAAACGTCAGAAGCCCAGGTGCAGTGGCTCACACCTGTAATCCTAGCATTTTGGGAGAGGCCGAAACGGATGGATCACTTGAGGTCAGGAGTCTGAGACCATCCTGGCCAACATGGCGAAAACCCCAACTGTAGTAAAAATGCAAAAATTAGCCAGTCATGATGGCGCATGCCTGTAATGCAAGAAAATCACTTGAACCCGGGAGGCAGAAGCTGCAGTAAGCCAAGATCGGGCCACTGCACTCCAGCCTGAGCGACAGAGCAAGACTCTGTCTCTAAAAACAAAAGAAAAAAAAAAAAAAATGTCAGAAAAGGACTTCATGCACTTATTCTAGTTAAGATATGAAAGTAATATTACTCCTTGGAGAAAACTAACAAAGACTTCATAGCCTGAGAAGAAGGTGACACATTTTCCTCCATAGCCAATTCAATGACCAATTCACATATTTCTTGGCACACTAGTCGAGAATATTAAATTTTATGCATTAAGCTTCATCTTAGTGCTTAATCTTAGCTATTATTGCTAACACAATCTTAATGTCTTCTAAGGTTATATATTGATATTAAAAGAATTTCTTTATATTTGATCACTATGGTATCTTTTCCTATTTTAATGATTATTCCTACCACATTAATCTGAGACTTTTGTCCAATAAAGGAATTTTAAAACACTTTATAACAGGACTTTATTACAGGCTCACGTAGTGTATTTTGTATTAATTATAAAACTAAATTGTAATTCAACTTAACATGTTTACAGTTTACAAATAGTTTTATTCTTTAGATTTATTTGTCTTATTTATCAAAAAGTATTTTATAAGGTTGTTTTCCTCAGATTTGTACTCCAATTATTTAAATAACAATGGATGAGAATTTAATAAAGATGTAATAAAGTAACTTCATCATGGACTTTACTTGGTGTCAAAAACAAAGACTTCATAAGAAGAAAGGATGCAAAGACAGGTCTCCTTTAACTACAAATTAGAAGAGATATTTGTAAATTTTTTCTTAGATTTAGGTAATTCATATTTCATAGCTAAAGAAGGAGTCTGGGTTTGAAGGAAGGGATTCCCAGTTGTTGTTATAAACAGTGCTACCCCTTTGCCTCTACAGCTATCTCAGCTTATTATTTTTGTGGGATGTGGCATAGAAACTATCAATAGAAATTATTGTCAGATTTATTTTTTTCTTATATAAAAACATATACCTTTATTGAGACTAAATAACTAATATGAATGGCTTTCTTCAAAGCTAATTAGGGGACTTCTGATAGTTTGTCCTCTTCTTACAAGTTACTTTATGATGCATATAAGTTTCTCCAGAGTTGCAAAACATTTCCTTCTACTATTCTGGCAAGACATCATGCAACAATACTCATACAAATAAATGTACACTCACATTATATCTATTATGTATATATAAAAATTATGTGTGTGGGTGTGTATATATATATATAATTTTTTTTTTTTTTAGAGACAAGGTCTCCCTATGTTGCCCACACTGGTCTCGAACTCCTGAGCTCAAGGGATCCTCCTGCTTCAGCCACCCAAAGTGCGAGGATTATAGGCGTGAGCCACCATACCCAGCCTCACATAATATTTCTCCTTCAGTTATGAACTTTATCTTTGCCATATTTCATATATGCCTCATAAATCAGAAATTAAACTTTTTAATGATAGAATGCAAGTTGCTAGGCAAAGAAGTAGATGCACAAATAGCCATTCTATATTAAACCTCAAATCTAATAATATTTTAAAATAAGTAAACAAAAGCATAAACAGCATGACACCGGGATAATTTTGATTAAAACCTTACTACAGGAAAAAAAATCCACAGACTTGAATCAAGGGCAACAAGAATTATTCATTGTGATGAAGAATTAAATCAATCTAAATTGGGTAAACTGAAAATGATCAACAGTTATCATATGTAGTTATAACAAATTAAAAGAAAAACTGAAGTAATTGGCTGGGCGCGGTGGCTCACACCTGAAATCCCAGCACTTTGGGAGGCCGAGGTTGTCGGATCTCAAGGTCAGGAGTTTGAGACCAGCCTGGCCAATATGATGAAACCTCTTCTCTACTAAAAATACAAAAATTAGCCGAGTATGGTGGCACGCCACTGTAATCCCAGCTACTCGGGAGGCTGAGGCAGGAGAATTGCTTGAACACAGGAGGCAGAGGTTGCAGTGAGCCAAGATTGCGCCACCGCACTCCAGCCTGGGCGACAGAGCAAGACTCCATCTCATAAAATAAATAAATAAATAAAACCTACGTAGTGAAAAAATGGCATGGTATCACTATTATATGTTCATATTAAGGTAAAAGCCTATGCTCATCATGCTCATCAAATGTTTTCTCAGATAACAAATTTTTTTTTTGAGACGGAGTTTCACTCTTGCCGCCCAGGCTGGAGTGCAATGGTACGATCTTGGCTCACTACAACCTCTGCCTCCCGGGTTCAAGAGATTCTCTTGTCTCAGCCTCCTGAGTAGTTGGAATTATAGGCGCCCGCCACTATGCCCAGCTAATTTTTTTCTATTTTTAGTAGAGAGGAGGTTTCACCATGTTGGCCAGGCTGGTCTTGAACTCCTGACCTCAGGTGATCCGCCTGCCTTGGCCTCTAAAAGTGCTGCGATTATAGGCATGAGCCACTGCGCCCGGCCAGATAACACTGCGCCCGGCCAGATAACACAATTTTTTGACCTAACCATAATTATGCTTTCATTTATTCATCATCATAGGGAATTAAGTGCTACACGTTATTTATTTTTCAAAATAACTAAAGGCAAACACCATTCAATCAATACTCGATCCATTTTTTAAGTAGACAAAAAATAAACGTCTTCGTTCAGTAGGATTTTTAAATCAAATTGAAGTCTATGATTTCAAAATAGTTCACTGCTCTATAGTTGCTTCCCCATCTCAAGGTGTACACAAAAAAAGATAACTTGGTCTCTTCCTTCTATTTCATGGTCATCAGCATAATGTACTAAGAGTGATTCCACATTCACTGAACAAACGCAGAGAAATATATCATGGTTAGTATGTGCATTATTTCAAGGGATTCTAAAATGCTGTTTTCATCTATATGAGGCTATTCCTTTTGCTACCCCATCAAAAATGTGGACTTAAATGGGCAGTGGCCTGGGAAGTCAGGTAAACAAGGAGCAATAACAGGTAAAGGGCATATATTTCACTATACAAGTAACAGAATGTAAGACATGAATTAGAGGCTCTTTATATTTTTTGTTTGCTTGCTTACTTCTGAGCCCATAGCTTTATTCTAATTAGTTGAAGTGTCTTAAATTTTAATATCCACTATACGGATTATTATTGTTACTGCATGTCCATCTAAGTCAGAATATTATGAAAAGAAAATAAAAGGCTGAGAGCAGTGGCTCACACCTGTAATGTCGGCACTTTGGGAGGCCAGGATAGGAGGATCATTTGAGCCCAAGAGTTCAGGCTAGCCTGGGAAACATGGCAAAACTCCATCTCCAAAAAAAAAAAAAAATTAGCCAAATATGGTGGTATGCACCTGTAGTCCCAGCTACTAGGGAGGCTGAGGTGGGGGGATTGCTGGAGCCCAGAAAGTTGAGGCTGCAGTGAGTCATGATAGTGCCACTGGACTCCAAGCTGGGTGACAGAGTGAGGCTCTATCAAAAAATAAAATAGAAAAGAAAAATAAATAAATAAAACAGTGAAAAATGGCATGGTATCATGAAAAGAAAAAAGAAAAGAAAAGAAGAGAAAAGAAAAGAGAAAAGCAAAGCAAAGCAAGACAAGACAAGACAAGACAAAACAAAAGAGGCTGGGTGCAGTGGCTCACACCTGTAATCCCAACACTTTGGAATGCTGAGGCAGGCAGATCATGAGGGCAGGAGTTTGAGACCAGCCTGGGCAACTTTGTCAAACCCCGTCTCTACTAAACATACAAAAATTAGCTGGGCATGGTGGTGCCTGCCTCTAGTCCCAGTTACTCAGGAGGCTGAGGCAGGAGAATCGCTTAAACCCAGGAGGCAGAGGTTGTGGTGAGCCAAGATCCCACCACTGTACTCCAGCCTGGGCAACAGAGCCAGACTCCGTCTCGAAAAAAAAAAAAAGAAAACACAAAGTAAAATAACTGTGGAAAAATGTAGTATGACCTACATAGTATCAGGAAATATTTAATAGAGCTTTTCTGGTGTAATAACTTCAAGAGGCAAAACATTTATTAAATGATGACTAAATTTAATAAATTAAATCCCAGTTTGATAGACTAAGTAAGAATTTTAATGCTACTCCATTTGTTCGTCCGTTCATTCATTCATTCATTCATTCATGTATTCATTCAACAAAGATCTGAATAAATGTGTTCCACCTACTGCTAAGTACCTGGCTAACAGAAGGAGAAGAAAGTACACAGTCAGTTCCTCAGTGTATGAACACAAAAATCAGTAATCACACAAATATATAATTGCAAACTGTGATCACTGATGCGAAGGGAAAGTACAAGATGCAACGAGATCAAATATCAGGTGGACTTAATCAGGTCTGCAATTCAGAAGACTTCCTAGAGGAAGTGAATTTCTGTGCTCTGAGCCAAAGGATGAAACGTCATTAACAAAGCAGGTGTGAGGTGCAGGAGAGAATAATCTATCTCATGTAAAGTCCTTGAGAAAGAAAATAAATGTAGGTCATTTGAAGGATGTCCAATACAGGTTAATAAAAACTGTTGACTATATTATCTCTAAAATATTTTTATTCATTAAAGATATGCATTCTATTCAGTAGGAAGTTAAATTTCTTAAAAGTAAACTTTATTTGAATATTTCCTCAATTTTCACCTGTGGCTATGGTAGGTAATTAAAACCTATTACTTTGAATATTTTCTTGAGTGAAATTATTATCACAGCCACGCTCAGAGAAAAATGTATAGTCTATCTATATCTGGTAAATACTGTACAGAATAATACATTTCAATATACTAATTTTTACTTTGGATTTATTATTTACCAAAAGATATTAGAGAATAAATGTTTGGTTTACCCCATTGCAATGAAAGCGGAGTTCCTGTGTCCCCAAACAAGTACCAGGCATACTATTAGGAGCCACAGATCATATCCTACAGATAAACTTCAGGGCTTTACATTCCTAATCATCTACTTTGGAATGAATTCTGAAATGTTTTTGCAAATGATTTTCGCTCTTTCCATTCACTTTTTCTACACCCATTACCATGAGTAGGTGAAATTGGGGGCCATTTATTCAGACAAGGTTTAGGCTCCTTAATTTATAGACACTTCAACTTTATATTCTCCTTAGATAATCCAGCTAAGCCAGGTAAGATTTCTGAACCTTATGTTCTTGCTGAAGAGTACAAACTTTGTACTCTTTGCTATCTAATCCTTATCAAAATTCTAGTTGAAAGAAATAATATTTATGGAGGATTGCCTAAATGACATACAGAGCATCTGTTACTCAGGCCAGATAGTCTGCATTTTACATCTCAATCTGATCAGACCAGGAATGAACTAATTCTAACGACAAATGCAATGTGTTAGCACCTCTTATGATTGATTTTACTGAACTTCACACTGGAGTTACCCACTTGGCACACACTATTATCATAAGAAATAGCTTTGTTGTATCTATTATAGGGTTACTGCTTATACACTATATTACACAGTGTGTCTTCATAAGAACTAGACAAAATTATTGTAGGTCTAAGCCTCTGGAAAAACTATGATTCCATCTAGCAGCTGCTTAAATTTTTTTATACATAGCATTCATCTTATAACTGAATATGTTGCCTCCTTTAATTTAGCTGCTAAGTAGATCAAAGATAGATGGAAGTCCATCTCAGCAATTGAACAGGTCTATGCAGAAAATATTTCTGTGATCTATTCCTACCCTAGCTTTATTATTTTCCTCCATATATTTCCCCTAACTTTGATTAGATCCATTGTTTCTTATCATGGCTATAAATTGACTAAAATCTTTCTGAAATGATGGAATATACAAAATCCTATAACTCTTAAATATATAACAGATAAATTTAATGTTTACAGATATATATTCGGAGAAAATTAGATTTTCCAAAATCCAAGGATTTAAAAAATTTATCAGTCATGATTATTTGTATTTTAACTTCATATCTCCTACTATGTTCTAAAATTTACCATGTGATCCAGGATAAAATATGTCATTTTTGCTTATATTTTGTACATTTTTTAGAGAAAAAAGGTTTAATCTTATTTGAAAGAAAGGATACCAGAGACTAACATGGGGAAGAAAAATGGAAGACTATATGGAATTTCCAATACTATTAGTCGTACAAACTTACATTCTGGATAGTCTGGTATATGGTTCAGAAGCAAAAACAATCAGAGACATCTAACTTCCCCATTGTCCAGTGTTTTGATCCTCCTATATTATGTAAAACAACATCATATTAATTTGAAAATCTTCACAGACTATTATTTGCACCAATAATACATTTTTTAAAGAATTAAATTTACCTGTAAAATAGTATTGAATACCTAAAAACTTAATGTAAGAACATAAATCTACTTGTAACATAAAGGATAAATGCTTGAGGAGATGAACACCTCATGCTCCATGATATGATTATTTTTCATTGCATGCCTGTATTAAAACATCTCACGTACCCCGTAAATATTAATACATACACCTACTATGTGCCCACAAAAATTAAAAAGAACATTTATCTCCCAAAGGAACTGGATTTTTTTAAAAGAAAATAAAACATACAAATCCTTTCTTGCTCATGAATTTTATAACTTATGTCAAAATAATTACTAACACTGATAAATAGCAAAGGGCTGATTTTTAAAAATGTAATAAATATTAAAAGGTTCCTAAATAAATATGTTGCTAGAGGGTAAAGGTAAAATGATGAATACATAATACCATTTCTGAAGTGAGATTGGTTATTAAATCCCATTCATAGATAACAGTCACCAATTATTGTGAATAATTATTGGGAATAGGTAATATGTTGAAGACAGGCACATGTCATATGCAACTAGAGAAAAGGGAAGGAATGGAAAACTATATCTGAGATTAAAGAGAAAAAAACCTCAATATCTGCAAGCAATAATCTAGCAGAAAGTATACAAGAGGGAGGCCTGACAAAATGTAAACAGAAATTTCCTTGAAGAAGTAAAAGTAAGAAAGTTTCAAATGTGCAACAAGACCAAATAAATAAATATAGGCTAGCTCAAAGGGAACTGTGTCAGTATATAGCAGAGGAAAGTTAAACCTAAGTTTTTAAAAATGAGATTTTCTACAGAGTAGTTATCTAAAATTCTTATGGCATTTATTTTTAGCTAATAACATGGTATCTGCACATAAAAATGACTGGGATATGGTCAAAGAAGTGAACAAAAGAAACACATTTGAAAGAAATATTTGTAAAAAATAAAAGCAAGACATTGTACTGGGAGAATAGGAGGATTTACGATGCTGAATTTAAAGCAAAGAAGGTCCTAGTGACAGAAAATTCCAACAACAGATTCTGTGTGTAAAGACTGTGATGAGGCCAGAATCACAATCTCTTGCTTTAAAAGTCAAACATATGGTGACACAGAAAGAATCTTAGTTCCAAAATATTGATAGGCATATGGATTGACAGAATTTTTTAAATAAAAAGAGTAAGAGTTCCTCATCCTGAAGAATAACTCCACCTCTAACATAGAACTTCTAGTTTGAATCTAGAAAAGTGATACAACTTTGGTCTCTACATTTTAGTTGTAATAGCTCTGAAGCCATTTGAGACAATAAAATGCTAAAGACAAAATCTAAAAATAACAACAGTATAAGTATTTTTAGACTGTACTTGTTCCTGGGAGGAAAACTGTAAGTACTCTGACGGTATTTCATATTGTTTAAATAAAGCCAACTTACAAGAATACTTCAATGCAATTCTTTTCAAATGGCTAATCTATAGGAAAACAATTATTTCTTTTAAAAATGAGTAACTAAATCAAATGACAAATTGGAAGGTATCTCCTTTATCAATATCGTATTTTTGGGGGGATAAATCATTGTAACTCTGATTTAGAATGATTACCTTTTCCTCATGAGAAGTCTTTTCAGCACCTCACTCTTTTTGGATATATATGTGTCATACATAAATCTAATATGTATCCTTTCTCTCTTATATTTAAAATAATAGATATGGAATTCATTTTTCTGTACTTGTACAGCAAATGGATTTCTCTCTGCATAAAGCCAATGAGAAAGACAATTTCACAATGTTTAATAGTATGACAAAGGCAATGTACTGCTGTGCTGATTTTAGTCTGAGGCAGATAAACTCAAATTACAGTTTAACCTCTGGTAATAGGAACTATCCCATTTTGAAAATATTTGTTGTAAAATTAAAATAAATAATGGATTGTCATTGTATAAAGAGAGGCACTGATGTGTTTATATTCACTGGGGCGTATGCCCATAGATGGTAGAAAACATGTCAAAAAAATCACATAGACACGACTTCATGTATACAAATAAATACCCTATGTAAACTAATGTATGTAGAAGTAAATTTGATTATAAAATATGGAACAAACTAAGAATATTGAGATAGATATAAATCTGCCAAAGAACTAATGCCTTTCAATACACACAAGTTCTCTGTGACATTGATGACAATAAAATTAATTCTGCTTAAATATAAAATCAAATGAGGAGCAGCCATACAAAACCTAAATCTCACTCACACACAAACATACATAAACATCAAACAACAAAATAAGTGTATATAAACACAAAATCAATTTGGTATACAAAATGTCACAACACAATTTACAGTAAACACTACATTTGACACTAACAAATGCGAATACTAGGTTTGTATGAGATAAAGTACTACATTTTTTTTAGAATGTGGACTCTAGCCTTAGAAAAATCTGGTTCCAAATACACGCTTCACCAGTTAAAATGTGTAGATTTTACTTAAACTCTCTTTGTCCCAGCTTCCTTGTCTGCAAAATTGAAAAAAAAGTCTACTATAGTAACTGCTAGGATTCAATGAGACTATATGTGCTTTAATGCTGTGCGTCTGTATATAGCAGGGGAAAATTAAATGTAAATATTTATTTTATTTATTTTAATGTTTTGTAGAGATAAAGCCTCACTATGTTGCTCAGGCTGGCCTCAAGCAGTCCTCTTGCCGTGGCCTCCCAAAGTGCAGGGATTGCAAGCATGAGCCACCACACCCAGCTTAAATGTTAAATTTTTAAAATGAGCTTTCGTATTACCAATTATCTGGCAGGGCACGGTGGCTCATGCCTGTAATCCCAGCACCTGGGGAGGCCAAGGCAGGAGGACTGCTTGAGTCTAGGAGTGTGACACCAGCCTGGGCAATACAGTGAGACTCTATCACTACAAAAAATAAAATATTAGCTGGGCATCGTGACATGTACCTGTAATTCCAGTTACTCAGGAGGGTAAGGCAGGGGACTGCTTGAGCCCAGGAGGTCTAGGCTATAGGGAGCTATGACGGCACCCACTGCACTCCAGCCTGGGTGACAGAGCCAGAGCTTATCTCAAAAAAAAAAAAAAAAAAAAAAAAGTAATTCTCTGAAATTCTCATGGCATTTATTTTTGGCTAAAAATAAAATCAACACAGCACAGAAAAATTGCATGAGCTTTGGAGATAAGAAGGTCTACAAATTAAGTTTGGCTTTCTCTATTTAATAGCCGTGGACAAATTCTTAGTCTAAGCTTTCTCATATACAAAGTGTAAATAAAAGTATTTATTTTGAAAATGTTTTTGGAAATTTAAAATGAAATAATGTAAACCAAAAATGTACCTGGAATGGAAGCTCAATAAATTTGATTCTGTTTCAAGTGCATGTCATGGAGACCCTACCAGCTTGCAAAACATCCTGAATTAAAATTATAAAATGCATAAAATTATATATTCCCATATTATCCACTGTGCCTCATACACACGTTTGCTGCAAAAGGAAGTAGACAGTAATGCCCTGGGATTATAAGATGCTGCTCTAAACAATTGTTTGTAGTAGATTTACTGGTAAAGTAGAATGGGAACTATTTTTAACGAGGCAACTTTATTTAAAAGTTACTAGAGGCCAGTCCAGGTGGCTCACACCTGCAATCCCAGCACTTTGGGAGGCCGAGGCAGGCGGATCACGAGGTCAGGAGAAAAAGACCATCCTGGCTAACACGGTGAAACCCCGTCTCTACTAAAAATACAAAAAATTAGCCGGGAGAGGTGGCGGGCGCCTGTAGTCCCAGCTACTCCGGAGGCTGAGGCAGGAGAACGGTGTGAATCCGGGAGGCGGAGCTTGCAGTGAGCCGAGATCGCGCCACTGCACTCCAGCCTGGGCGACAGAGCGAGACTCAGTCTCATAAACAAATAAATAAATAAATGTTACTAGATATTCATGGTTGCAGAATAGCAAGGCTCCTTGTCACCTACTCTCCTAAAACTTCTCCTGGGGGAAGGGGAGGGAGGCTGCCAGTATATCCCTTTTGTCATACAAATAGAGAACAAAACGTCTTTCCTTGTCTGGAAAAGTTCAAACAACGGTGAAATAATGCAAAGCAAATTATTTCCCATAGAATTTTTAATTTTATATTTAATAAAGTAAATGTTGCCTTAGGAGCACAGGAACCTCTAGGATATGGAAATCTTTAACTTACTGATGAAGACAGGGCTTGCCCTTCCTCCTTTCTTCCACAGGTCTTTTGTCTTTGGTAGGCTTCAAGTTTGCCAGGAGCTAGAAATGTTCTCTTTTCTTAGGGTGGAGTTGAGAAGGCTGTGCCTCTGCAGGGAGGGGCCATATATTTTGTGTAAGTCTCACAAGATTGCTCAAGGTAACTGAAGAACAGAGACTGGAAGATGCAACATGCAGTTATGCAGACTTGTGGAACAGTTAAGTTGAGCACTCATGAGAGACTCTGAGAATGACTCCTCAACTATTCTGAGGATACATAAGTGCTACCTGCCACACAGGATGGAGTGACTGAATAACTACAATGTTTTAGATCCCTGTGAGTCAGTATTGAATGTGCTGCCAGAATACAAAAATAAACAAGGAAGTTACAATATAGTGACATGGGAGCAGGGAAATATAAAAAACAAACAAACACAAAATTAAGTAACTTGAACAATGAGTAGTTCTACAGTAGAAGCACAATATACAAAATGCCATAAGAACATAGAGGTGGTAGGGCTGAATTACACCTGGAAGACTTCAAAGAAGAGTTGACTTTTTAAAGCAGGGTTTTGAAAGTTGAAGTGATAAAGAGAAAACTGAGGCAAGTGGCCAGTTCTCCTGGGTATCAAAAATAAATACATATTCATGGACTGGCATGATGTATTCAGGAAGTGATGGGTAGTCCAGTGCAAGCAGTATACAACCAACAAATCA